CTGCACACCAGCTCCCCACCATGAATGTGACCATTCGGTACTAATAAAACTAGAAGAAAAAGGTAAGATAAAGCCTAATTAGAAAACAAAATAAAATAATGAGAACTAAGAAACGTTAGGGGGTTGTTCTGGTAGCGCTATCATCTGAATGATACAAGTCCCAAAGAGCACACAGAGAACAGAAAAAAAAAAAAGAGAGAGAGGAGGAGGAGAAGAGAGAGGAGAGAGAAAGGGAGGAGAGGAAAGAAGAGGAGGGGAAGAGGAGAAGAGAGGGAAGGGAAGGGGAGGAGAGGAGAGGGGAAGGGAGGGAAAGGGAGAGAAGGAGGAAGGAAGGAAGGAAAAGAAAAAGAAAAGGGAGAGGAAGGGAAGGAAGGAAAGAACAAATGAAGAAGGAAAGGAGGAAGGGAAGGAAGGTACGAAACGAAGGGAAGAGAACTGAAGCAATGAGAAAAGAAAAGAAAACAAAGAAATGAAGGAAGGAAATGCCCCCAAGCACCCACCTGGGGGTGAAGCAGCTCTTCCGCATCCCTTCCCACCCTAAAGAGATTTCAAACTGTGAGAAGCAAAGAGAAAGTCTGAGTAACTCTGGACATGTGGCCCAGGGGAAGGGGTTCCTAAATTTAACATCCTCAAGAGATGGAAGAGAAGAGAGTGATACCTTCAAACATCTGAGGGAGAGTTATTTCCAATTTAGATTTCTTTACTCAAATATTCATTAGGTGCCTAGGTAAAATTAGACATTTTAACATTTGGAAAACATTAAAAAGCACACTGGCCCAAGATCCGTTCCTTAGGAAGCTGCAGGTTGATGTCTTCCACCAAGAAGAGAAAGCAAACCAGAGGAAGTCAGGGTGGGAGGTGCGGACAATGGTGGTGGCAGACAGAGCTGTGGCCTCGGGAGCTTCCCGTGTAACCCTGGGCAGGGGGGCACACAGAGGGCTCCCTGCCGTGGCTGCCCCACATCCATCCCAGGTGTCCCTTCTTTGGGGGAGGATGGGGAGGGATCATAATAAGGACATAGTGAAGGGTTGCCCACATGCATTACCAGTCCTGTGTGGGTCAGATACGCAGTGTGACCTGCAGTTCCCTGTCACCGTTATGACAGTGGAGCATGCCTAGAGCCCAGAGCGATGTGTGTGAGAGCTGTGCTGGGCAGGCCTATGGCACACAGGGTGTGGATGTGGACCAATGGGGACATTCACCACGCTGACCCTGAAGCCAGACGTTGATGCATGGGCCTCCCGTTAGCAGGAAGCACTGGTGGCAGGGTGGGTGTTCATTATGGCAAAGCTCTGCGCTGTTTAATACAGAAATTCCTGAGCCAGACCAGAAGCATGAGGAACCCTGATGACAAAAAGCCGAACTATAGCTGGGAACAGATTTGCCCCCAGATTTTCTATTACAGCTCTCCAAGGTCAGCACGCGATCAGAATTCTTGAACTGCAGATTACTGAATCTCTGACACTCTTAAATGTGAAAGGGAAAAGCAATATAAAGTGAAAAATAGGTGCAAAGTTTCATTCTTCATATATTGAGAATGAAAATGACCTCAGTTGTATTATACTGTACATGGAGACATACTGTACTTACAAATATCTACCTTCTTTTCTACCTTGTCACTTGGAAATAAAGTATAAAAGGTACACAAGGAAGGAAGGAGAGAGGAAAAGAGGAAGGAAAGAAGGAAAAATGAAAGAAAAAGGAGAAGGAGATGGAGTGAAGGGGAGAGGAACGAAAAGGGAGAAAGAAATCAAGTCTGGCTCTCTTTAGCCCCCGCCCATGCAAAAATGTCAAACAGAAGGTCATTTTATATCTATTTTTATTACAACACACATTATTAAATTTTAAACTAGCCCATAATATACATGAGTCTAAAGAACCAAACGTGCGGTAATTGATCATTCTTGAATTTGGAGACAAATAATGTTGTTTATTGATTGCATAACTAATTTAAAGTAAATTGAGCACACATCCTTGTTAGGGGGAAAGAAAACTCTTTTTTCATTCATCATGAATATTAATAAGGTTAAAATTAATCTTATAATACTACCATTAATAATTCAGTGATCTAAAACTAGGGTTTACTTGAAATCACTTCTTACCATTTTAACCTGGGTTAAAATGAAGAAACAGAGGTCCCTGCCCTTGATCACCCTAGAAATGAGAAAACCTGCACTTTCCACAGAGTAAGGTGCACTCTGGGATAGAACCAAGAGGAAATTCCAACTCAACATATCATGTAGCTCTCAAGCTTTCCAGAAAATTCTTTCCAGAACATTCTTCAGTGATCCCCAGAACATTCTCCATGTTTTCAGTCAGAAATTATAGCTTTTAAGCATTCACCTATACAATGTGCTTTGGCTTGTTTTGATTGTTTTAATTTTTGTTTGTTTGTTTTAATTTTTAACTTCAATTATTCTGAAAGGTAAAGCCTCTAAGAGGAAATGACACTGTCCAGACTTTAAGAAAGGAATTTCAGTAGAGAGTCATCCACCCTCCAACTGCCCCTGCAGTGTGTGGTCCTGGGTGTGAGTCACCTGAGGCCCAGCATGTGGGCCCTGGCGCACTGTCCTATACAGGCAGGAAGGAACCATAGCTCAGGGAGACTATGCGTGTGGACCAGAGTACAGCCATGTGTGGACCGGAAGGCAGCCATGTGTGGCCCACTCCGGGGCTGCAAGTTGAAAATGTGTGCACTCTTCGACAAAGACCCCTCAGAGAAGAACAGAGGATCCCCACATGACAACGCTGAGCAAGAAAAGCCAGTTTCCAGAGCTTGCCTGGTCCCTAATTCCACTGAAAGAGCATTCTTTGAATGTCGAAAAGACAGGAACACAAAGTATCAGTGGCTACCAGGAATCCAGAGCAGAGGAGAAGGAAGAAAGCAAGCGGTGTGATTGTGAAAGGGCTGCCTGGAATCCTGGTGGTGACTGATGTTCTTGTGTTGTGGCAGAGCTGGGTATTCACACCTACACATGGGACACAGCTTCAGGGAGCTAAACACACATCACATTCATCAGTTTGCCATCCGCAGGGAGCAAAACAGGAAGAGGAAGGAACCAAGGTCTCATACCCCTTTCAAGGTCATATCACTATGATGTAAGGACTTCCTACAAGTCCCAGTGACCAAAACTCCCCAGCATCTCCCAGATGCACCCCCAGGGACCTCAGGAGACACTTGCCATATCACTATAGTCTATGTGCACTGGACAGGCTGCGCCAAACTGGGTGATGTGGATTTGGTGGGCTGAATCAGTGTCATTCTGAGTGTCTTCCTGCATGGCCATTTTGCAAGATAATCACCACTGAGGGCCACTGAGAACCACATGGGGATCTATACCTGTTTTCCCAATTGCATATAGATCTACAATGATCTCAAAACAAACATTCTAAAACAAAAAGCTCTGCAATCCCATTTCAAAGAATGCCCCATTCCTTGGGAAAGGCCCAACTCTGTCGGCAAGGTTGAGGAAGGGAAGAAGGGGTCCCAGGAAGTTTTAGCTGGGCAGGAGGCAGGCTGAGCCCAAAGACAGAGCTCCTATTTGGCTGGAGTCCTGCATCTCTCAGCTCTGCAGCCTGCTAAGTGCTCCGCTCAGAGCACATCCTGGGTGCCCCCAGGACTGAACAGCTGCAGATGTGCCAGCAAGCTGGAAGCTTTGCATTCCCCACCACTCAGAGTAGCTGGGAGAAGATATGCCCCCCTTGCATAATGACATCACCGGCAGTCACACCAGGTCCATGCTTCTGCATCTCTGCCCAGTGAAAGCAGCATGTATGTGGCCCATGTGCATGAAGAAAGCCAGCTCAAAATAAACCTGTCATTTTACCCACAGAATCCTGTTGGTAGATGCTATCACTTTAATGAAAATTGTGTCTTTCTCCAGACAACTCTCAAATAACCAACATAGCTGCTGCACTCCTTGGCTGGGCCTGTGGCCCGCAGGTCTCTTCCCTGCCTCCTCTGTGGACGGCAAGAGTAGGAAATAAACTTTTCCCCATTGGTGATGGGCCAGGGGGTGAATCTGTGGCACCTTTTAGGAAGCTTACAGGATTGCAGGAAGTATGAGATGTCATACCTCAAACTAATGCCATTTTATGACAGCAAACTATTATGCTGTTTTAACAAAGTGTTGGTGATATTGCAGATAGAGCAGCTTTGAACATCAGCATCCGACCCTACTAATAGATCGTCACACTTTTTTTTGCTTTATGTTGTTTCATTTATAAAATTTATTTAAATATATATTTAGTTCTTCATGTAACAAGAATCAAAAATACTACCCTGAGCACCATCCAAACTGTTCTTGGTCCATTTAGTAAGTAGTCTCACAGAACATATTCAAGGTAACTGCCCGTTCTACATGTCTTAACTATAGAAGTTTATTCATAAACCCATTTCAAGCACTGTATTTGAAAGCTGCCTTATTCTTGTAATAAATGAAAGTTTAAATTATTACTTAAGATGCTGTCTTTTGTCTTCCTTTTGAATTAGGAAGTAATATGCTCTTATAAAATCTCTTCGTTGGAAATGACCAAAACTTATTTACTGTCTCTTGAACCATGAAGGACAAAAATAAAATGCATATGACACCTCCTAATGATATTAGCTTGAACAGATGCCTTTCTTGTATCTCTGCAATCAGCCTATTTCACAGTCTTGATGCTTTTTTATTTAGAGTCAGTCACAAAAATAACTCTCACCACGTTCCATAAGAATATGCTTACAGTTTTGCGTAACTTATACATGACAACAGTAATTGAATTAGCTTTTGGACCGGTTGTTCTGGACGGAAGCATGTACCAGAATGCAGTTGTCACTCCCGTGGTCCCCTTCCCCTGCTGGTCTCCCCTGTGTGCCGTCCCTCTGCCGGGTGATAGCCATGCTCACTTGGAGCACATTAGAAACCAGCCTCCCCCAGCCCTCACCACATCCGTCGTGTGGGAGTTTGGTTTTATGGTGAATACCAACCTCATTATCCTGCCTTTCTGTGCCTCTCTAGAGTGACCACATCTGGCGGAAGAAAGAAAAAATGTAGTTATCGAATCCAATCCAGGGTTTGTGTCTCTCACAATATCAACAAAAGCGATCAGGAAAGTTCCGGTCGGCCCCACGAACACATGGATATCTTAGAAGGAGCCACATGAAGGTAAGGTGTCTCTGTCATCTTTTCCATGCTTTACCTGTAAACAAATGTCTCATTACCTACACCTTGCCACTTTGCAGATGCATAAAAGTCAGTTTTTGAGTAATGGGATTCTGATTTGCTAGAAGGTGCCACATCCCCTAATTTTGGCAAATAAACCTAATAGAAGTCAGACTGTCGTGGTCGCTAGACATGGCATCAGGGTGCCCCCCTGACTGAGTCCTGATGTGACTCAAGATAACTCCACTGCCACGTTGCCAGAAGCATCTGCCCTTGGCACACAGGCAGAAGGTCCTCTGGACAAAGCTCACAAGAGTCAGGCCTACGTGTCCACTCTGCGTTCTACCGAGGGGCATTTCCTACTTAAGGGAATTAAGCAGGTCAGTGACCAGGGGGCGAGATCCTCACAAGCTGCTGTCTGCCACCCTTGGCAGACCTCCTTGGTGCCACGGTACGTGTGGTAAACCACACAGAACATAGAATCTACCACTTAACCATGGTTAAGTGCATCTAGTGGCACTAAACACTTTGACATGGTGTGTCATCATCTCCTTCATTGATTTCCAGAGATTCTCTCATCTTCCAAAGCCTCACCTCTTACCCACTCATCAACAACTCTGCACCGTCCCTCCTCTGGCCCCTGGAAGCCACCATGCTCCTTTCTGACTGCATGGATCTCACTACTGTGGGTGCCTGACTGAGTAGAATCAGGATGTGTTAGTTCTTCAGCAACTGACCGTTTTCTGGGCATATGTCTTCCAGATTTTTCCATGTTGTAGCATTGGAACTTTCTTCCTTTTTTTTCAAGACCCAATAATATTTTGCTGTACATCAAGGGACATGTGTGTTGCTTCTGCCTTTGAGTTATTGTGAATAATGCTGCTCCGAACTTGGAGAAATACAGCTTTAAATTTTTGCTTTTGAGCCTTCAAATTTTACCCTACTGTTTCACAGTGCCTGCAACATTTTATTCTCATCACAGTACACAAAGGTCCTAATTTCCCCCAGCTAGGCCAACACTTGCTGGTGTGCGTGTGCATGTGCATGTGCGTGTGTACGTGTATGTATGTAAAAGAGTATATGTTTGTGTTTGAACATAGCCAAGCTAATGGTTATGAAATGGTTTCCTCTTGTGATTCTTACTTGCATTTCTCTACAGATTAGTAATGCATGTTTATCTTCTTCATAGAAATGTCTATTTAAATCCTTTGATTTCATCATTTTGTTGTTGGATTGTAGGAATTCTTTATATACTGTTGCTATGAACCCTCTATCGGATACAGGATTTGCAAATATTTTGTACTATTGCATGGTTGTCTTGTGTTCTGTGAATAGTGTCCTTTGGTGCATAGCAGTTTTTGTTTTGCTTAACTGTTAGAAAGCCCAACTCTTTTTTCTTTTGTTACCTATGTTTTTGGTGTCATATCTAAGAAATTATCACATCCAACATTTTGAAGCTTTTCCTCTGCCTTTTCCTCTGAAAGATTTTGAGAGTTTTATATCTTATGTTTAGATTATTTGTCCATCAGGAGTTAATTTTGTATAGATTTTAAGATAAAGGTCAAAAAGTAGGCATGGTAGTACAACCCGATAAGCCTACCACTTGGGAAGCTGAGGCAGGAGAATCATTGTTTGAGACCAGCCTGAGCTACATAGTGAGTTTAAGGCCAGCTTGGACTACATAGCAAGACCATGTCTCAAAAAACAAACAGAAAAACTCATGACCATAATACCCAAAGGTTTGTGTCTGTTCAATTCCATTGGTCTGTGTATTCATCTTTATGCTAATGTCACACTGTTAATTAGTGTAACTCTGCATAAGGATTCAAACTCAGGAAGTCAGAAACCATCAACTTTGTTCTTTTGCAATATTGCATTCAGCTTGGAGGAGGAAGATCTCAAGATTCCGTATGAATTTTAAGACAGAATTTTCTATCTCTGCAAGAAAATTCCCTTGAAATTTTAATAAGCATCACATTGAATCCATAAATCACATGACTAAGTTTCTTACTCAGATGGAGCTAGAAGCTTTCATTCCTTCTAGTAACTTATTTCTGTGTGCAGTCTGAGTATACTCATGACTTTAGATACCTCCTTTTGTTCAGTTTGAAAAAGAAATGCAGATTTTTATCGAATTTTTCTGAGCCTAGTATGGTGCACAACAAGCAATGCTAAATATATAAGAATGTCCAGTAGAAAGTCTTCCAAAAGCTGCCCTGAGGATGAAGATGTTATTTCTGTTTGATTTCTTGAATCTCAGCATCTGGAAGGCTCTTGTACTATAGTGGTAGTTCTTTGGGTTGGGATCCAGTGACAGTGGGAATGTTCCACATAATCTCTGCTCGAGTGATCCTTGGCTCCCAGGAGCGAGCAAAGATTTGAACCCACAGATGCTGGGGAGCATCTTCCAAGACCACAATCAATACCAGCCATGTAGAAAGGCTGAGCACAACCGATCACCTTCATGGGTCAGTTTCCATCCAGTAAACATCACCGCCCTATAGAACCCCATCCCCTGAGTACAGATATTTGTTAAGTCCTGGGAGTCCCCGTTGCCCACGGTCAGAGGTTAGTGTAGGAAAGGCTCGGTGCTGTGGGAATTACCCAGTGGACAACACCAGCACAAACACCACCCCAGCCCTGTGTGCTGGGTCCACAACCAGATAGGCTGTGGGAAGGGAAGATCCCAACAGAAAGTCTAGATTTAACACAAACCACTAATTCCAAGTCACCTTTGTATTACATGCAAGGGTTAGCCTCAGAAATACCAGGACAGAGAGATGTCCCAGGTGAGAAAGCTGCAGCTCCCAGTGCCAAGTCCCATCCAGGTGCTGTGCTGGAATGTGCTCAGTAGCTTTCCATCTGCTTCTCTCGAGCAGTGATGAACAGATCCTGGTAATGGTGGCTCTGCTAGCTGCTTCAGGCATACAAACAAGGGAGACAGCCAGGGTCTCAAAGAACATGCCAACCTCGGCGTGGCAGGCTGGGCAAGACCAGGAAGGCCCAGAGGTGGCCACCTTCCTGGGTGCTGCCTGTCCTATTCCATCCTCTCGCCAGTGTTTGCTGGCTGTATCGGGAGCTGGGTCACAACGCATTGTGTCTGCTTAGGTCTTTGGGAGACACTGACACACTGGGACACTGGGACATGGTGCTATCCCAACCCTATTAGATGCAGTACAGGGTACAGTACAGGGCACAGTGGTTTGCTCTACAAATTAGTGTGCCTTTATGTTTTGAGAGGATATAGGGTCTTGGTACATAGTTCAAGCAGGCCTTAAACTCCCTATGTGACCCAGGCTGGCCTCAGACTCGTAGAGAGCCTCCTGTTTCAGCCTCCCAAGTGCTAGGATTACAGATGTGTTCCACTGTGCCTTGCTTAGCATCTCCACTTAAGGACTCTGGAGTCTGTGCTTATGGGAGAAATGAAAGTTCAATAAAACAAGCTTGAGACCGAGGGTATTTTTCTGTCCTCCTTTGGACTGCTGAGCCCCAAACACCTATGGCTCTTCACAGCCAGCCTTCTAGGAAATTGTTTCCCCAAATTGGAGCCCATGGAGGAGATCACACCATGCATCTCCTTTCCCATGCTGAAGACTTCACCAAAAATAAAATCAATAACTGTTTCCCCTGAGCCATGTGAGTGGCATTCTAAGTGGTAACTATTTTCAAGAGAAGTAGATCAGCATCCACAGGGAGAAATCTGCTGAAATAAGGCCCACTCTGTAAATCTGTGTTCTCTGACCCTTTGGCAAAGTGCACTGAAAAACAGCTGACCACGTCATTAGATTCAGCCGTGTGCTTCCCACAGCCTTTATCTTCGGGCAAATCCTTTCAAAGTCTTCAGTTTCTTTTTCTATAAAGTAGGGATAAATGGACTGTGAAAGGTCAGATGTGATGCAGTCCACGAACCCCCTATAGACTACAAAGGATGAGGATAGTGGCGAACCCTGAAGTGTCCACTGGGTCCCAAGCCCTTCAATTTCAACTTCATTCCATCCTCGAAGCCCTAGGAAACTACTGTTCTTTCCGTTCATATTTTTACCCACAATTTATAGTAGAGGAAACTAATGGATAGAGAAGTAAAGCAGTTTGTTTAACATTACATGGATAGTAAGTTACCTCCAATATCAACCCTAGGCAGACACTTTGTGTTCCGACTAACACTGCCGACTGTGTGAGCTGCCTTGTCTCCCCAAAGCTGTCCACATAGGTTACACATGATTATTACTCCTATCTACCCCTTAATGTGTGCAATTATATTATTTGTGTGCACGTAGAAGCTATTGGGTGTGTACACACAAAGAATTTACAAAACCGCTAGGTTGCCGCTACATCAAATTATTTCACTTAACCAGCTCAGTGTTAGCAATACAACTCTGAAGTTTGTTGATTTCACGCATCTTTGCTCAGGAAAAAAAAGAGCCAGGAAATTGCACGCCAGCCTTTCTCAAAATCCTCCCGAAGCTGTGCAAGGATGCTTTTCAGTCTTTTCCATATGAATTCATTCGTATTTCTTTAATACTAATTTTTATTATTTCATCAACCTCTATTACCATGATATTTATTAACTGTGGTGTCATAAGATATGGTGGCAGATTAAAAATAAATAAAACAGCTCCATTTTCTCTGAGATTTAGGTCAGGAGACAGAAGAAATTTTATCTCTTGACTTGTATTATCAAAGTCATGGACCACAACTCTTTTGGAAACTAGGGTACCAGATTGCTGACCTCTGTCCTCCTGTGGGGAATGTGGTCAAAACTGCACGTCACAAGCTGCCTGTCCTCCCAGTGGAAGACAGTTACCTGCAGGGAGCACGTGGACCAAAGCAGAGCTGGGAAATAGGCAAGGTTGTTTGAGACCATGGCTCACTGGACAACTCAGACCTAGGGGTGAGCCGATGTTGTATGGGATTCTTACAGGTCCACCTGGGGACAGGCGGGACAGGAGACTGGAGACCACTCTTGATGGCATACTCACTTCTCCGACCAGAGTCCCAAGGCA